GTAAAATCAAACAAAATCTCATAAAACTCATCCAAATATCAATAATATCAAGGTAAAAATTCCCTATTAATATGTATATAAATTTAGCTCATCAATAGCCATGGGGAACTCTCCAAACAATCCACAGCCACCAAGACGAATCTGCCTCAAGGAGGACATATTTGCCAAGGTGCTAGGAATTCTAGAATTTATTTCGATGCTAGTGAGGCGAAGGTATTCCAAGCTTGTCAAATTTTCTACTAGGCTTCTCAAGTTTGGCCTTTTCAATTCTAACCATCCCTTTTTTGGATAGGAAGGGTTATAAACGAGAGCTAGGTCAAGGGTGGATAAGCTAGTAAGTCTTGAAAGTTCAGATGGTATCTGTCCAAAAAAAAAAAAGAATTAGAGAGGTTGAGATAAGTTAAACTTGTAAGATTTGCAAAAGTGGATGGAATCTTAGAATAATTGAAGTCATTGAAGGCGAGATTAAGGTGTTGGAGGTGGAAGAGGTAGAAGAGGCTACTATTGAAATTGATAGAACCCAAAAGGTAGCTACTACTAAGATCAAGGCTTATAACATGACCAGTGGATTGATCACACCATATACCTTCCCAAAAGTAGCAATCCATCCCTTTAGATTTCCAGAGATTGACTTTAGGATAAGCGAATGGATCATCAGAAGAAGGATGCTTATCAATGACAAAGCTTTCCTTGAATTGTAACAAGGCAAGATGTTCATCTCTTCGACACAATGGATGCTGGAAATATTGTTGAAAGCAAAAAACTAGTAAGATGGTAAAAGACAAGAAGTGAGCAAAGAGGACACCATAATTTGTTCCTTTGTTTAGATTTTTGTACTCTCATGGATGCAAGAATATCATGCATTGTGAAGGGCTTATATAGATGACATTATGTTGAAATGGAAGAGAAGAATTTTAGTTGATGTATCTCATCACTATCCTTTTTTCTACATTCTACTATGAGAAATGGTACAAGTGTGCAATGATATATATATCCCTTACGTATATTGAAAATAATTTTGGTTGATGTATCTCACTATCTTTTTTTCTACATTCTTCTATGAGAAATGGTGCAAGTGTGAAATGATATACATATCGTTGATGTATGTGAAAAATGATTCAAAGACAATTTTTTTGTAAAAACTTTGTGTCATTCAAATAATTGGTCTTTTTTTTCATTTGAAACTCATTCTATATTAAGTGTATTTATTTAATTAATGACATATGAAAATGTATAAAAATATTATACAAAAAATTTGTTTCTATATCCCTTATGGCCCACCAATGGTCTATTTTTCTGTATGCCGTTGAGAAATTAGCTCTAATTTGAATCCACTTGCTATTGATTACAAAGTCAAGCGGATCAAACCAAACCTATCTACGTCTCAAAAATCAAAAGGAAATTATAGAACATTTTTGGCCAATTTAGCCAACCAACCAGTATATATATTGAATGTGAAGTTAATTGACTTGAGCTAAAGGCCTCTACATCAAAGAAGACATAATATATATCTACTCCGCGTGTGGGAGATTTGGAGAAGACTTATTCATGGCCTAAGATGTCCATTTCTTAGCTTATCTTACTCTAAATAGGCATCATTCTGCATGCCAAAATACCTATTAGTCATGGCCT